AGGACAGGGTCCGGTGGAGGGCTTTGGTTAATTCGGTGATGAACCTTCGGGTTCCCTAAGCCATCTAGTTAGTTAGTTGGTACGCGTATATTGTATTAGGATCCAATATACATCATTTATAAACCTAATAATTAACTTAAACAATGACAGGACATTTTAATTTGTTATTTGGCACTGGAAGAGGCAGACATTGAATTGTCATGTTGGTTGACTGAATTTGTTGGTAGGCTACGTCTTTTCGGAAGGAAATACTGCCTACATCAACAGGGCTTCTGAAAATGGAGGCGGTATTTTCCTCCGAAGCACTATAAACCGTGCACTAATACTGATTATGGACATCAATACAAGTAATGTTTTGTTTCCATTTTTAAATGTTAGCATTTTTGTGAAAACCCTACGTGATATATGTGTGTTATATAGCTGCGTGAGCCGGGTAGCAAAGTCATAGTGGCTGGACTACCGGGGTTCTATCCCCGACGGGGGCAGAGGATTTTTCCTCTAGCCTCTGCGTCCAGACCGGCTCTGGGGCCCACCCAGCCTCCTCTACAATGGGTACCGGGGTCTTTTCCCGGGGGTAAAGCCGGCCGGGGCGTGATGCTGACCACTCACCCCCATCTAGTGCCGAGTTTAGGAATGAGTGGGAGCTATAACGCCTCTCCCCTACGCGCCTACATGGCGTTTAGTGAGGCAGCCTTACTCTTGCTTATTTAGCCACCTAGAAACACCAAGAAAAACATGGCGGAAGGCAAGAAACCTGAAGAAACATTATACACATTTATTTTTAACGTCAGCGTATTTTAAATATTATATATAGAGTACCTAATTTTGTTAGTTGTCATATTGAATTTGAAAGTCTGGCTGTATATATTGAAATTGTCTTTCTTAGATCCAAATATATTTGCAGATGATACATAATCAACATTCAGATCTCACGGTCCTCAAACTATATACACTGATGATAATAGACAGCAGGTAAACCATAAGTTGATTGAGGTGTCTGTTAGTCATTTCGACAGCAATTACATATCAGAATCTGAGATGGGAAATTTAAATCGGTATTCCTCTATAAAATGTGAAAAAGTAGTATAGATTTTTCTATGTTAAGGAAAGTTAAGGTATGTTCCCTCAAATCTGTAGCATTCTTACTTTAAAAAGAAGATGTTTGCTTATGATATCTGTGTGTCTGGACCCGTAATGATTTTTAATTAGCTAACAGATTTTAATTAATCTTGATATGTACGTCGTGCCAGTAGACGTAATGCCACGTCTGTGCTTCCTAATTTTCTGCCATAATTATCACTAACATGGCGGCTGTTCGAATTTTTTAGGCGGAGGCTACAGTAGTGCCACTTTTTGTACGATATTTAAATTATGTATACAACAAATTATCGAGAAGTGTTCTATGTTCGTTAAAGTAATTCTTTTTGTATAAGGTAAAACAACATGGCAGACGGGAGAAATCTGTAGGCCAGCTTAACGTTTTGTTCACTGGCGGAAATGGACTATTCCATGCGATTATGCTTTATAGAAATATAATATAAATGTAGTGTGGGATCTCGGGTTCGATTCCCGGCGGTGCCCGAATTTATAACTTGTGTTGGGCAAGGCCGTGGTCTAGGCAACACGGAGTTTTCCTCCGTGGCATCCCAACAATTTCTCCATTCACACACAGAAGAAGGCAATGGCAAACCACTTCTGGATCATCTGCCAAGAACGTATATGAACAGGTCCCAGTCCGAGAAAAGGATGGAAGGATCCTGTTCATATGGACCTGTCGTCAGACAGAACACTAAATAAATAAAAATATATAATAAATAATTGCATTAAAAATGTAGTTTCTTATTCATCCTTGTTATAGGCATACCTCCTTACTCGAGAGAAATGCAATAACTAGTTTTGAAATTCGCGAATGATGTCATGGACTCTGATGCGTAATTATTTATGTATGTTTTAATTATTTATCTTACTTCACAGTGTTTAAATTTTAACTTAGATTGCTAACATTACTAATCATTCTTCTCTGAGGAATTTTAATACCTGGAATCCTTCGTCTGTTTTTCAGGATTAGTTACCGGTCTCCTTTTACAAAAGATTTGGAATGTCCTTTCTTTATTGTCGGAGGTGTCTGAAAAATAACCTTTGTCTATTTGCGCATTTCGTGGTTCTATATACTTTAAGCTCTATTTATTCACTAATTAAATATATGTTTTCAGTTTACTCACCTTGCGAGCCAATGTACGCAAATGGAACTAGATAAACCTTTTGAGTAAATTTCCATGTATTTAGAACAAATGAAATTTATTCGTATTTATTTAACGAGCTTTTAAATTCAAACATCCGACGTCAGACATTTTATGATGTAGCTGGTTTATAGCTAAGGAAAACGTAGTATTATTTCCGCATTAGCTTGAAAGTCGCTGTAAAAATTATACGATGTTCAAACGGGCGAGTTTAACATTTTGCGACTTCTCAATTCAAGCTGATATAATATTTTCATTTGTAATAGGATCAATGAGGTGTTATGATTAATGCATTCTTCATTCCTTACTGAATATAAAGGTACCTTTATAATTATTTTATAATGGCATATTATAATCTGTGTAAAGATCGCTCGAGTAGTCGTGGTACCTAAATGCGCGATGTGTAAGCCGAGAGAGGGGAGTTCGGTAGTAGTGGGGGATATCGCACCGAACTAAACACAGCGAGAGCTACAAACCAACTGAAGGTTACACCCCTCTAGCGCGTGCTTCGGACGAGTCCATCTCACGCGACGAAAATCAGTCCTTTGCGCATGCGCTAGGACTTCTCAAGCGACCTATACATCGAAGAATTGACTTCTGATCAATTTTCTACCATGAGTGTGCTATAGGATTGTCTAATTGGAGCGAAATCATGACCTCGGCCTATCCTACAAGCTACTACTTAACTGGACTCATAATAATGACATTCTGTTTATAGTTTTGTCAGTTAAATGGAGATAAATATCAGAAATTTTGTTCTCGCAGATGTAACATGCGTTGATTTGACGGTTTAAATGTCTGTCGTGTTCACTTTTCGTTTCAAATATATAGGAAATTTGATATAAGGACCTTCAGGTATCCTTGATCCATTTTTATTAATCACTCAACAGTCATAAAAATTATTGTGATCAAATTAAGGATGAAAATCTAGACTTGAGCTAAATGTGCATAAATCTTAGTAAAGAAATCCACTTTGAAGACGTAAGCATAGATATAAGGATAATATTAAAATGTATACTAAAATAATAAGATATGGACCGGATTCATGTGCCTCGGAATAAGATCCTCTGGCAGGCGCCTGTAAACATTAAAATCAGTCTTCGTGTCTCCAAAATCGGTGAGGAATTTCTTTACCAGATAAACGGCTCTGAGAATCTCAACAATTACTCTGTTCCATTCAGATTATTTTCCTTTAACAATTATTTATTTTAATCCGTCTGATCACAATATTTAAAATTTCTTATAATTAAGATAATAAAATATCATTGATGTTCCATATCGATTGATCGATTTACATTTCGGAACATTTACACAAAATGTTTCGGTTTTTATAAAACCATCATCAGGTGTAAAATATATCTAAGAACTTAAAACTCAATTATGATTTCTGTAGTTTTTTGGTGATGTTTCATTACGTTTGTTTTTCCATTTTTGGGCGAAGGTGTTGTTTTTCTTAAATGTTATTAGATGTACATATCGGCCAAAGATGTAGGAGTGAGTGTCCCGATATGTCCGGAAGTACTAGTGTCTTCGAATAGGTGTGGGTCAATACTAAATTATTTTCCTTTATTTAAATTTCATTTACAGCTCTCACTAAGCGAAACACAAAACCTTGTTTCTTGTGTACGTGTTCTAATTTGAAATGGAAATAATTTATTTTACAGTTGTGTATTTAACTTCGTTTCCATATTACTAATAATATACTTTACTGCCTTTCATTAAACACCGTAAATATCACGAGGCATCTTTTTTCTATGTGCGACGGACATCTTAGTTGGTTTAACCTTGTCTAAAATAGGACGAATGCAATTTGTTCTTTGTAATAGCAAAAGCTAATATTAAATTCCCTTCACTGATGCTCGTGGCGTCTTTAGTTCATAATTAAAAACAGACTGCCGTGCTGTAATAATTAAGAGATACATTGTGAAACAGGTAGAAACGAAGATGGCTATCTTCCGGGTTGTTCCACCGTGTAGTATAGCAAAATTTTACCGACGTTTCAGAGGTGTTTTCTGCTTCCATCATCAGGGCGATGATCTCTGAAAATTGGAGTTTTTCATTTGAATTTCAAGAGTGTAATAGGCTGATTTTATCAGTGAGTTCTTCAGTTCCTATTGACAAATATAATAGAAAACATTGTATCACAGGTCTGTATTTTGTAAGCTTGATACAATGGTTAGTTATACTGATTTATTTGAAAGATAACAAATTCGAATCTCTGCCGGAGTTGAAGTTATTTTGATTGATATTTATTATGGTTGTGGTCAGTCCAGTCCTAAGTATCCTCATAATACAAAATAGTTTTATAATAAGCGAAACCGTAAAGCGAACTTTTGTGTTGTGTGTCTGCCGGATTTGACGGAGGAGTCTCCAAACCTTCCGCCAGTGTCCGCATTTGTACAAAGTATTTTCAGAAATGTGCCACGACTATTTTCACTACATCGTCTAAAATTTGTTGATATTTATTTGTCTCAATGTAGATAATTAAACTAATTAATTTTGTAAACTTTTGTAAAAAGGATACTATTAAAATGGATCTTATGGGAATACAATGGGACGATGTAGAATAGATCAATATGGATCTGGGTGATTAAGTGGAGAAGAATGAGATGGGCTGGGTATGTAGCGCGCATGGATGGGACAAGAGGTGTGCACCGGGTATTGGTTGGGAAGCCTGAGGGGAAGAGACCGCTGGGGAGACCTAGACGTAGATGGGAGGATAATCTCAGGCGGGATCTATGGGAGATAGGAGTTGAAGGAGACTGGATTTTGTTGGCCCAGGACAGGGTCCGGTGGAGGGCTTTGGTTAGTTCGGTGATGAACCTTCGGGTTCGGTAAGCCATCTAGTTAGTTAGTTAGTTAGTTATGGATCCGGATAAAATACAAGGTAACTTCTCCGTAAATTATGTGTTATGTCTGAAATAAATTTATGAACTTTTCATAATTAATAAATCTTCATTACAATAGTCCTCATTAAATGTGTGTCATCGAAAGCGTTGTCCAAGAAACTACAATCGCTCAACTATCATTTAGATACCATTTGGCTTCGTACGTAAATGCATTACATACACACGTATACGCTCGTACATACAGTGTCATACAAACACATCATACATTCATTTGTAGTTACGTAAGCATGTGTGAGATGTGACCCGTGGAATCAATACGAATAGGTGCAGTGTTAAATAGCTTCCTGAATGCTGATTGCTGGCTGTAAGTCTCTCTATGGCGATACAGGAAGATCTGTAAAGAAATTTCTTTTTAGCTGTGTGCTCACTCTTCGAACATAAAAACCAATGTGTGTGTGTATAGACCGGAAGTACTAAATCTATTGCCAGAAACACACCTGAAGTAGGTTAAACGTGGTCTTCCGTACACGTCTGCAGATACGAGTAAACATTCTTTTTCTCAAATCCACTTACTATGGAGCCATATAAAACAGTATGTACGAGGTGCGATCGGAAAGTTTCAAGACTGTGTCAATAGAGGGCGAACCGGATGTAGTACGAGCTTCTGCCGCTAGGGGGTGCGGCCTACATTCATAGTGAATCAGTGTGCCAGCCGGCATCATCGAATTAGCATTTGTTTCGAGGTGCGATCGGAAAGTTTAAAGACTGCGCCTATAAAAACTCGTACACTTATCTCAGGTATTAAATTCATCCATCACCCTCGAAGTAGTTCCCCTGGGAGTGAACACAACGATCCCAGCGCCGCTGCCAAGCCTGGAAGCATCCCTGGAAATCTTTCTTTGTCAGCCTGTCAAGCACCCTCTGCGATTCTGCCTGAATCTCTTGCCAAAGACTCGCCAAAACGGCTACGGAAACCTATGAAATGCTAAAGCAAGCATTTGGGGAGTCCGCAATGGGTCGTGCACAAATTTTTGTGTGGCATTCACGTTTTAAAAATGGCCGAACCTCTTCCAGGCTTGGCAGCGGCGCTGGGATCGTTGTGTTCACTCCCAGGGGAACTACTTCGAGGGTGATGGATGAATTTAATACCTGAGATAAGTGTACGGGTTTTTATAGGCGCAGTCTGTAAACTTTCCGATCGCATCTCGTATGCCAAATTTCCTAATAATATATTATGCACTTTATAGTTTTACAGAATTATTGACATAGACTTATGTTAACGTCATTATTTGTCTCACGACCTATACTACAGCGTATGTAAATATTTAAGACTAATTTCTAGAAAATCCTCTTAGAAGCAACAAAAGCCTGTAGTCATATTCTTGTTATTCAAAATGGCTGCCTTCTTGTCATTGACACATTTAAATTAATGAAGTACGTAGTCCGTAAAGTATGTCACACCGTGACAAAATATTATAAATTAAACATTTTATTATCTTTTATAACTGAGAGACTGTTGACAGTTGTACTGTAAGGGGTTCTAATAGGTTACGGTAACGTTAAGAAATAACCTTTTTGGATGTAAAACACTGGTATGAAACTTACCGAAGAATCTGATGAGACGACAGATCACGTTGTGTCTGGAAGTCCAGTGCTGTCGAAAGACCAATATATACGACGACATGATCGTGTGTGTACTCAGTCACATCTTAACATACGCAGGAAAGTTGGGGTGAAGCTAGAAAAGAAACATTGGTATGAACACATCCCGAAGGCAGTGGAGACAAGTCAGGTTAACCAAATAACTATTTTGTGGGACCAACAAGTCAGAACAGAGAGAACCATTCCTAATAACAAAGCAGATATTATAACCCGAAACAAAAATGGAACTTGTCTCCTAATTGACATAGCAATACCGACTGACAAGCAGAGAAGATCTTGAAATACAAGGACCTTCTCATTGAAATACAGCGAATGTGGAACGTTCAAGCAAAAGTAATCCCAATATTTATAGGAGCAACTGGAACTGTCTCCAAGTCACTCAGACAATATTTGGCCAACATTCCGAGCGAACACGACATCAAGGAACTTCAGAAAATCGCCATTTTGGGATCTTCGTACATCATTCGAAAGACGCTGTCGTAAAATATATATTCATCCCTCACAATAAAACTATATAACACATGTAAAACGTATTAAAAACGAAATATATTTCGGAAATAGCTGCTGCATTATGTAATTTAAGGGCAAAGTTTGTCTTGGGGTATATAGAAGTAAATGCCCTGTTAGCAATAATAATAATAATAATGATAATGCTTAAAATTATTTACATAACGTAATGTTGACGTCTCCTTTCCCGGTAATCGGTAGAACAAGGATCCGTCCCGATATTTCGTACTTTCCTAGGATGGTGAGAGCGGGCACCCTGATGCCGTATAAGACATGTTTCTGGTCGAAGTCGTATCTGGAACGGAACGGAAGTTTCGATGAAGAAAATCACCTAAATAATTTGCGATGTCTCTCATATTTTGCAGAGATTTGGGTTTCGCTTCAGAGTCGAAGGCTGTTCAAAATCTAGACAGCTAGAGATCATAGTTTGTTACGATTCGTCCAACATTTTAAGGATAATGTGAACTAGTGTGGCTTTGTCCAATAAATGCTACAGGAACAATTGGCAATTTATAAATATAAAATTGTTACTCCTACGCCTATCCCAACCCACTTTACTTGCGTAAGAATCGCGGGTGATGAATAAAAACTCACTCTACTTTTTCTGCCGACGCGTCCTTCAGTCCATACATCTTCACATCCCGAAAATTGACGCAGACGACATTAGCAGCTGATGCACGTCTAACAGAAGGACTGTTTTTGATCGAAGGGCTAAAACTGAACACAGAAAAATCTCTCAGATTCCGAGCAGGAATTATACGGCAGTATTTAAAACCGCTGTAAACTAGTATAAGGAATAGTGCATTTGCAAGGATCAGTGCCTTCTCTTACGCAGGGTCTGGAGTTTTAAAAACTCTAAAGCATCAGCGTACCTATAATGCACTTGGGGAGGAGACGATATTAGCAGAGGGCTGCAAACGTCTGCTGGACACGTTCCAGTTTGTTGCCATCAGTAGTCGTGATAGAATTCCAAGCGACCGAGGCGTATTGAGTTTCATGAAGTTAGCAATGCACCAACCTTTTACAGAGACAATGTCAGTTTGAAGTTGATTGCAGTCGTTGGGAGATTTTGATATCATCAGCGAAAAGAAGGCATTCAGAATAATTAATTACTTGGCATATATCATCAATAAACAAGTTGAAAAGTAGAGGACCCAAAACAGATCCCTGTGGAACTCCAGAGAGGACCACAAAAGGAGACGAAAGAGTTCCAGAAACGCGAATTTGGGATTGTCTGTTGGTTAAGTAACTACGAAACCAGTGTACATAACCATCAGAGAGTCCAAAAGCACTGAGCTTGTTGAGTAATAGATTGTGAGGGACAAGATCAAATGCACTGCTAAGATCAAAATAAACAGCATCAGCTTGACCCTGGGAGCCAACTATTCGAATAATAAAATCTGGATAGGTTAAGAGATTAGTTACTGTAGATTTAGATTTAGTAAAACCATGCTAACAAGGACTTAATTTAGAATTTACGTAATGATCATAAATAACAAGTTCAAATAATTTTGAAAAAGTATTAAGTATAGAAATGGGACGGTAGTTACTAACAGTGGCATAGTTGCCTTTTTTAAGAACAGGAACTATTGCTGCCTGTTTCCATAAAATAGGGAAATAATTCTGCGTTAAACTTAGATTGAAGATGTGTTTGAGAACAGGAACAAAGATCTCCGAACAACCCTTTATAACAAAGCTAGGAATGTCATCAAGTCCGACAGATTTGGAAGGTCTCAGACGACGAATTGCTTTACAAATGTCCAATTCGGAGATAGGGGCTAAAGACAAGAAGTCAGAGGACTCCACAGGGGAAGGGGGTATGCCTAAACAAAAAAGTACTGTAGACCAGTGGTATTCAACTATTTTTGTTCGCGTACCCCCAGATATAATTTCTCTTCAACTTTGTACCCCCAAAGTTGTTGGTGTATAATTCAAGTTATACATAGTATATAATCTACATCTTAAATAAATTACATTACTGATTATTCAGTGTTTATCATAAAATAATATATGTATTTTTTTAAATTTCAAGTACCCCCTAAGATGTCTTCGCGTACCCCCGGGGGTACGCTTACCCCAGGTTGAATATCACTGCTGTAGACCGACTGAAAATGCTTAGGAAATGCATCGGCAACAGAACGGGGTCCAGCCAAATGAGTACCGTTAACCTCAAGCTGAATACAAGTGGAATTTCTTTTTCTACGAGACGTCACATATTTCCAAAATTGCTAGGGCTGCGACTTTAAATTGTCGTCAATCGACTTCAACCAAATATGTCTGTCAGACGTGATTGTAGCTTTCACTAGCTTGCGATAGAAGGAAAATTTACTATAAAAATAATCAGAGTTGTTCTTTTTAAAACGTCTGTAAAAGAAATCTTTCTTCCAGATGTAGTGTCGTAAGGCACTCGAAATCATTGAGGGAATTTTGAATTTCTGATAAACCCACGGGGAACAGCCTTATCTATAGTATTTAAGACAACCGAGTTTAGGCTAGCGACAGCGGTGATACTGTACATGCAGGACCAGTCATAACTCGAGAGAATGTTATACAACAAGGTGTAATCTCCAGATGAAAATTTACGGTAGAAAATTTCAGAATTGCTTTTACCTGTTTCCAGGGACAATGGGACATTAATAACAAACATCAGGCTTTAAAATACCAGTATCAATAAAGTTAATACCCAACTCACTGAATTTCGTAAATACTAGGTCAAGGAGACCAGTGCTGCCAACAGTTTCCATGCATTCTCTGAGGTCGAGAAGACACGTGGAGTTGTAGATGGCATCTCCCTTGAGTTTCGAATAATAATGTCAGTTAACCAGAGGGAGACCGCGTTTCCAGTGAAAACGAGGGGTGTTAAAATCACCCATGAGAATAACCCGAAAATTTTATGTGTCTAAGACGGATCCAGGATGGCTCAGTCAGTATATTGACGACCAGGGTTCGATCCTCAACAAGGACAGAGGATTTTTCCTCCAGTCTCTGCGAATAGATCGGCCCTAGGGCCCACCCAGCCTCCTGTCCAATTGGTACCGGGATCCTTTACCTGGGGTAAAACACGGCCGGAGCGTGATGCTGAGTAAGAGCTATACGTTCTCTCCCCTCAAGCGCCTACATGGCGTATAGCGGGAGAGTTTTACTTTAACATCCAGTTTTATTGACACGTGTTCACCCTTTAAAAGCTGTAACTACAATTTAGTATCATCAGCTTTAAGAATTAATTGCGCTGTATTTTGGCTTCGTATGAGACCAGGCGTAGGCTAAATTTCACGCATTTGTAACTTCGGAATTTAGTGGATGTGCGTGGTGAATTCCACGCGTTGGTTACCTTAACCTTCGAAGAAAATTGGATAAGACATTTCTAGGGCACCAAGAACATTTGAACGCTGCGGCCATGATTCTCCTTAGCTGGTTCAAAGAAATTTAAATGTTATAATGTTTATAGATCCCACACAGATGTACGAGGATCTAGGTTTTATTTTTACGTTAACAGAACTCATTTCGATTTATCGAATAATTTGTAATACGATATTTGTTTGGAATCTGATAGTTCGTTTAATTTTTAAATACGATGGAAAGGAATTAATCGATAAACATACATAACCAATATTACTATTATAGAAAATAGCAAGGAGTTTTATTATAAAACATATCCTGTTAACTGAGAACGTCTGCTTAGAACTTTAAACAAAATACCGTTCTTTGTTTCCAACTTGAGAGTCGGCTGTACAGCGCGCTGTATTTTCAACACTTGCAAGTAGAAAGTTGCGTGATCGATAATCACACGAGACTGCTTGATAATCGATCCTGTGGATGTAATTTACGTTAAGCCAGCTGATTCCACACTCTGATAATACGCTTGCATCGTTAACAAGAAACACGACAAAACATATATATTGGCCTAAAAACAGATACTGTAATACTATTTTATAAATATTTTTTAAATAAATTTATGTTTCTAATAAAAGGAAGACTTTTTCAGTAGCATCTGATCCCGATGTGATCTGTTCAATTATTAACTCACAGATGAAAGAATTCTCATATAGTTTTATCCTATTATGACTAACAACAATAACTAGGCAGTATTCTTTTAGAAGTATCATGAAATGAAACTGGATAATATTGTAATTAAATAATATTATATCAGAAAATTACATGTTTTTACTCTGTATCTTGATGTCTGTACACTCAAATGCCAGTGTTTCAATATTATATTTTGGAGGAAATTTTGGAATCCAATGAGACATTACTTATAAACCGAAATTTTAACATAACTATGACATTTATAGACCTTCGTTAGTATTATTTACACTGAAATAAAATTAGCGACAGATGGCGTAATAGTCGCATTTAATTGGCTGAATCTGTAACATTCATCTGTTTATGGCAGTTGTGAATTAGTTGTCGAGAGAACATTTAAGCTAAGCTCATGTTAAACTGTCTGCCATTATTCATTCCTTCTTGGCTCTTTGTAATCTTATTTGTTGGCTAGAATTACTAGAAAATCTCTTCGAACTATTGCTACACTTATTTCAGACTTCCAGGCGTCATGTATTCTGTTACGTGTATGCCCGAATTCTTACATAAGTACTCTCTTTTATGAACGTGAGGTTAGTAGTCAGTTGTAAACGCTTTTGACTATGCATTTGTTTTTCTAAAATGCAGTATTGCGCTCTCTACTGCTTTGTGGTAAATGTCGGACTGCAGAGTCGCTCGATACGGGAAATTTCTGCACACTGAACTGTAACCACATGGTATGGACCGTTAGTGCGTTTGAAGCCTTGTAGTCTACATTAAAACTTATATTTTTTATATGAAGTCTTAGAAACAAAGTAACGCTGATGACATATATATCAGAACTTATAACAGCATTTTAATTTGCTCTGAATAACCAGATTGTCACGGCTTATCAGTTTGGAAAGGGTGACGTATAATGTGGTTTTCTGTGGAGTAAACATGTGGTTAAGTTTATTATTATTAGTGTTCTGTCTGACGACAGGTCCATATGAACAGGATCCTTCCATCCTTTTCTCGGACTGGGACCTGTTCATATACGTTCTTGGCAGATGATCCAGAAGTGGTTTGCCATTGCCTTCTTCTGTGTGTGAATGGAGTAATTGTTGGGATGCCACGGAGGAAAACTGCGTGTTGCCTAGACCACGGCCTTGCCCAACACAAGTTATAAATTCGGGCACCGCCGGGAATCGAACCCGAAACCCCAGGATTACAAGGCCAGCGTTCTAACCGCTAGACCACCGTGGCTGTCGTGGTTAAGTATAGGAAATAAATTAAAATGTGAAGAAAAAGACGATTAACTGAAACTTATTATCCATTAAATCCATCAGTTGCATGTTAGATAACAAAAAGACCTCTGAATGCTGTTAATTTAATTTTCGTTTACAGTTATCGAATTCGTTGCGCCATCCGTATGATATAGTTCAGAAGGTTTCGTTCGGGTATGTTCGGAAATGACGCTCGATTCTTTTCGTCTGTGTTCGCAGCAGTCTGCATGGCGTCGGTTTTCTCCTGCTCCCGCACAGGCACATACAGAATTCACGGTCTCCTGGAGACCTGTGCTTGCTTGAACGATTGTTACAATTACACACACACAATTGATTACTGACATCTTCCGTGCCTCAAATTGACATT